GTCCAAGCAAACGTCGAATTGCTGTGGAGTGTGACACGACACAGCATGGCACGAACGTTTAGTGACACGAAACGTTAAGGTCAACATTCTCTTAGATGGACCTAGTACTTGACACAAAGAGAACCCCAAACCCTGACTGAGGGTCCCTCAGCTTGAGACGTTTACGTTTCAAGCTTCCACCTGGACCGTCGCAACTTTGTTTCTGGTAACCGCTGGGCTCTCTACCCGCGAGGTCCTGGGTTCGAGTCCTCCCTGGCGCGCTTTCCGGGGTTTACTTTGGAGGTTTCCAAGCCTGGAAACTCCACGTTTCAAGGTTCCAAACCTTGGAAACTTCAAGTTTCAAGGTTTCCACGTCTGGAAAGTCCAGGTTTCAAGGCTCCAAACCTTGGAACCTCGACGTTTGGAGGGCCCAAACCTTGGAACCTCAACGTTTGGGAGGTCCAAACCTTGGAACCTCAACGTTTGGGGGGTCCAAAGCTTGGAACCTCAATGATTGGGGGTCCCAAGCCATGGAACCGCAACGTTTGGGGGTCCAGACCTTGGAACTTAAATCCCAAATCTGGACACTCAAGGTTTGAGCGGTTGCCAGGTTTCAGTTTACTCTTCCCGCAAACTTCAAGGTTTGGAGGCATCCGTGAATGGCCTGGCAGCCTCGGGCTCGCTGCAATGCTTGCGCGAAATCTTGTTGGGGGTCGTTTAGCTTCCCCTTGTCGTGCGACCGACAAGGGTACTAGACCTGTCCGCCACGGTGAGGCAGACCCCCGTTGGACAGGAAAAACAGGTGTGCGTATTTAGGGCGCCGCGCCCCGCCCACGCCCCGCCTCGAAGACGAAGAACTCGAAGACGTGCAGTCCGCTGCCATCCGAGGAAGACCACGTTCACGATGTAGTCGACAGAGGCCTGCCAGGGGACAAGATGTTGCGGGGTCGCTCTGGTTCTTGCGATTCGCGCCTGCGCTGCGCGGTGAATTGCCCGAGCTCGTGGTTGGGTTGCTGCTTGAGCCAGCGTCAAGACGAAAAAAGTCTTTGACCATAGACCATTGCATGTCACTTCTGTGTTCTTGTTTTGCTTTCCAGTGTTCATGCACGTATTTCTTTTGGCTTTTGTGCTGCCCGCCTTTCGCTGGGCGTTTATGGCCGTGCAGGGGTGAAATACTCTGGAGACAAATTGCCTCCGATCAACAGGTCTTTTCCGAAGCTCACCCGACTCATGCCCGTGTAGGCTGCTCCTGGAACGTGGGGGACATCAAGCCACAGAACTGCATGGGCCAATTCACTACCAGCCATTTTCAAAACGGTGCTGGCATACCCTGGACGAAAAGGATGGTAGACTTTGTTGCCCAGCTGGGTGTCCGTCCACGGTCGGACCGGGACGCGGTGCCCGGTTTGAGTCACGACAATGAGGGCCTTGCTGCGGTGATTAAAACTCTCAATCGTGGCCTGCATACCGTTCACGAAGTCTCTGTCTTTGTCGACGTTCTTCGTAAAAAACACCTTCATGCCAACGAAGCAAGCAATGGACCAAGGCTCCAAGTCTCTGATGGCTTTCAGTGCTCCGTCATCTGTGTAGTTGTCTGGGTTGGATTCCACATCGCCCTTCAAGGTGGCTATTGGAGCTGCGTTTGCAAACAAAACACGCATCGCCAAAGTGGCCAAGTGCGCGGTGCCTCTACGACTGATTGCCATGAAGGTGGTGTCGGGGTGTTTGCGCAGGAGCCGCGCAAGGTCACTTTCTTGTGGCCAATGGCCTCTCCAGGCCCGACGGCCTGCCATGATGCGCGGCACGGTCAGAGCTCCTCCACGGTTGGTGCTGTGCGGCTTTGCCGTCCGCAGAGCCGAAAGGATCTTTTGAAAGTCCGGGTCTTTGCAGCGGTACACTTGGTGCAAGTGAGTCTGCACTGTGGCGCTCTTCCAGAGAGGGGTGGCCCAGATACGCTCGGAGCCGAAGCCTGCGCATTGAAATGGGTCTCCCACGAGCCCCATTGCCACGCAGTTGCTCACATTGGCGCGCAATGTGTTTAGGTGGTGCAAATGCTGAGCCTGGAGTTGACTAAACTCATCGACAATGACCAAGCCATAGGCGGCCAAGTTGTAGCCGCACTCTGAGAGATCCATGTCCAGCCCGAAAGCAGCGTGGCACGTCTCCACCACGACTTCTGCTGGGAGCTTGTCTTTCATTCTGGCTGCCAATTGGGCTGTGAAAACCGCCCACAAACACTTGACTCCACTCTGCACTGCCCTACGCACTGCCTCGATCGCAACCGATGTCTTGCCCGTGCCCGGCGGGCCTTCCAGGACTTGAAACTTGTTTTGGGCGAATGCGGCCTCCCGGGCCTCGTCTAAGTCACCTTCACTTGCCGCACTGTGCGCGACTACGGCGCGGTCCAAGTCTGCCGCCATGCGCGCCAACCAAAATTGTTGCTCGTGGTTCCACAGGGGGGTGCCTTGCTGTGGGTCTTCTGGCAACAGTGCAGTTGGCTCCTGCAACCACAACGCCACGACACCGTGCTCGGCCGCCAGCCGCTCGTAATTGGGAAAGCTGTGGTACACGGCCAAAGCCTCTTCGAAGTCAGCGGCGTCCGGGATGGCGTTCTCGAAGCCAACGCTCTCGAGCATGGCCGCAAAGGACTCATAGTGCTCAACTGCTTCCACTGTACGCGCCACATGTTCAAAGTAGATGGTGTCCCCTTGTCCAATTTTCGCTGCTGTCCCCATGCAAAGTCTGCCTTCCACAGTTTTCCGTTGGGCTTCGATTTGGGCCAGGTAGCGCTTCTGGATGCGGAGGCTAAACTCTTTTGCAACGTTTTGGACTTGCGGTTGCTGCTGACTCTCCACAACTGGGGGCAACGGCAAAGTTCCGGCCACGTACTGGTCGATGAGGCTCTGCTGGGTGGCAACATGGTCTAGCACCATTTTGCGGTACAGCTGTGTTCTGCCTTCCACGAGCATGTCATTTTCAATCGCTGCAGGGTCATGCCACATTGCTTGAGCTGCTGGGTGATCACAGGTGAGGCAAAGCGCCAAACACGCATCTGTTGGGGGAACTCTTGCCACGATGTCTTCGTTCCACAGCTGCCACGGGTCGCGAAAGGGGATGTTCATCAGCAGCCACTGGCCATAAAACCTGTCTTTCAAGCGGCTGTTGAAAGTGCAGGCCACGACTTTCTCCCCTTCCATGATGTACTGGTTGGCGAACTGGGGCAGATCCAGCTCTGTGCTTGCCTCCTGCCAGGCTTCTTTCAACCATCCAGCGACTTCTCCGGCATCATTGGACTTGCGCAAAAAGTCCAGCAGGCTCATGCTTTCGTCTCTCCAGGAACAGGTCTGATACAGTTGCACTTCTTTTGGGAAATCTGCGGCCGTGAGCAGGGGCACCACGAAGCTGCGACGGCCACGGCTGTGGGTGCTGATGTGCCACTGGTGAAACATGCTGCCACACAGTTGAAGCGTCATTTCAGGGATGCAGGGATGGTATCGGCTGAGGATGCTGGCGGCCACACTGTTGCCGTCGGTGTCATCGTTGAGTAACTCATCGTGGAACGCATCCGAAAATTTTGGCGCGTACTTGGCTGTGTACGCAGCGTAGTTCTGCTGCCCTGCAGCTTCAACTTGCACGTCCTGATGACATTTCGTCACCTCCATGACGGTCGGAAAAAAGCCTCGGACGCCTCGACGATGGTCCTCTTCGCTGTGGAAGAACACGTAGGCCTCCTGCTCGTCATCGAACTGGTTGCTTCGCCGTTCCACCGCCCAAGGCGTTTTGGCCTTGTCATCCGTCTGCGAAGCCGCAGCAAAGGCTTGCACCGATGGTGGCACGTGTTCCAAGCTGGCACTGATGGCTTTGTCCAATTGCAGGGCCTTCAGATCTTCGACCCGGCTTCGCCGACTCACAAAATCTAACTGGTGGATGTGGACGCGGCCAGACCCGTGGTATGACTGGGAGACGGCTCGACGCTTGCCGTCCTGGAATTCGAGGCGCAAAAATGTGCTCAGAGCCACCAGGCTGCCATCCTCTTTTTGCCGCTGGAGCAGTTGATGCTCGAAAGAATGCGCGGCCCGCTTTTTTTCCTGGTTTTGGCCTGAAACCACATGCTTTCCAACCTGCAACAACACGTGCGCCTGATGAAGCGCTTCCATGATCGGATGCTGCAAGCGTCCTGGAGGAAAAAATCATTCAAACAAAGGAGAAAAAGACCAGACCGGGTAACCCATTAGGAAAAATGTAAAGAATTCCTTGTTTGTGTCACCTAATGACGTCGCGTGGCCGCTTAAAAAGAAGGGGGAACAAAATAGGACTAGGTCACCCACCACGAATACTACATGGGGATTTCTTGTTCGTGTCACATACTGATGTCGACATGTCATGCTTCCGACACTCAGAAACCACAGACCACGCCTCGACGTGCTTTTGTCATTGCATCGAGCACGTGCACGTGATTTGGAAAGCTCCACTCGAACGGGCTGTGAGTGCTAAAGACCGGAGGGTACCCTTTTTGGCGCACCAAATCCACCACGGCTCGATGCATATCTAACCAATACTCTCTCGAAAACGAATGGTTCTTGAGCATCAGGCGTAGCGGGACCCCACTGTGCAAGTTCTTTTTCGAGCCTAAGTCTGTCCATAAGTTCAAATCATACGTGAAATGGAGGATTTCGTACGATAGAGACACGTCGAGGACGGGGCTGAAGAGCAAGGCCATGTAGCTCCGTTTGGTGCCCGCCACGTCGGGGGGCGCTTCTTCCTCCACGTTCACCAATGGTTCCGGAAATGCCCTTTCCCACAGAGTGGTGCGGTGCGCGCCGCGTGCTTGTCGCGACGACGATTGCTGCCTCGCCCAGGTCAGACATTGTTTCCTCTGAGTGAAAATATGTGGCCAGAGTGCGCATTCCAAGCCTTCAGATTCGATGAACCGCAACCAGCGCTTGCGCTGCCTGGCCTCTGCTTGTGGGTACTTGTTCACAAAGGTTTCTTGCTCTTGGCAAAAGGCCCCGTAAGCCGTCTGGTCTGGTCCGTCTCCGGAGTTTTGCAGCAACCATGCAAGGGCCCTCTCGGCGCTCGCTTTGTGGACTGGCGCCTGCAAGGCCTGCACGCGCTCTGCGACCGTTTGGGCGTGCCAGGAAAAGGTGACCATGGCTGCGTGCACCCGGTAGCCATTGCCTCTGCCGAACCTGTCTTTGGACACTTGGTGTGGGCCATAATTCGCTTCAACTGGGCTCAAAGCCTGTAAAACCACCGCGGGCAAGTGTTGCAAGACCTCAACCTCCACGTCGAAGCTTGGCACACTTCGCATATTTCGGCAAAAAACACACTTGCTCTTTGGGCACCAGGGGGACAAAACGCCTTCCAGCCCCTCTACTGTCAACTCTCGGGGTTGCAGCCGCTGGCACGTGCTGCAAATGTGCCAGGAGTTGTACTCGCACCACACCTGCAACTTTTCGCTCAAGGGGTTTGCCACGGCCCGCGGCAAGGGGTCCG